CAGTCCTAGCTCTTCACCATCTCATAACCTGCTTTCCCGTCTCGTCTCCACTACACCTCCACCTAAATTCTCCTCCAATACCTCCACAACTCTTAACCCTAACTTGACTAACTCAACCATACCCTCCCCCCCCCCCCTTTCCCTCTAACCTAACTCTTGCCCTACCCCCACTCTTAGACCTCCACGCCCCCACCCCACCCTCTCAGAGACCCCACGCCCCCCACCCCACCCTCTCAGAGACCCCACGCCCCCCACCCCACCCTCTCAGAGGCCCTACGCCCCCACCCCACCCTCTCAGAGGCCCCACGCCCCCACCCCCACCCAGTATGACGAAGTGGTCGGTTAATCACCAGTAATGTGCGACGACAAACATCCACTAACACTATGAACATTTTACAAGCATCCAGGGTGGTATGTGTCTTGATGCCGCGTGCCCTGGGAGGTGGTCCCCACGCACCCTCCTCACAAGCAGCCACATACACACGAGACACACACAAACATACACATATACATACATAAATACCTGCACGTACATGACCAGGCACACGCACTCAGGGACGTGAAATCCGACTTACCAAACTTATTAGAGTTCTATGACAAGATGACGGGAAGATTTCCTGGGCTGTCATAAGTATCCCAGACTCTCTCACAAGGTGTTGCTGCCCAAGCTTGTGATCCAAGCAGGTGAATCCTCTGTGGATATGACACGGGATCGAACTAGCGTTAACTCCCCACCTTGAGTAAACTAAAAAAAATAAAGCAGACCTAACTTAACCGGACCCAACTTAACCAAAGGTAAGCCACCCAGATGTAACACCTTCCCTAACTCCTCCTTACATGCCCGTACCTCGAACTAGGATTTCGTCATGAGAGCACAAAACACTCGCTAGAATTAAGCGTGGGGAGCCGGCTATTGAGCCGGGTACAGCCGCTTCATTAACAACACGGCCGGATAAAATGATGCCGGACACTGGAATCCATTTACGTGAGTGCTGAGTATCAGTCCTGGATATTGTCACGGTACACGGTGGTACGACCAGCACGGTACTACTAGCACGGTACTACCAGCACGGTACTACCAGCACGGTACTACCAGCACGGTACGACCAGCACGGTACTACTAGCACGGTACTACCAGCACGGTACTACCAGCACGGTACTACCAGCACGGTACGACCAGCACGGTACTACTAGCACGGTACTACCAGCACGGTACGACCAGCACGGTACTACTAGCACGGTACTACTAGCACGGTACGACCAGCACGGTACTACCAGCACGGTACTACCAGCACGGTACTACCAGCACGGTACTACCAGCACGGTACTACCAGCACGGTACGACCAGCACGGTACTACTAGCACGGTACTACTAGCACGGTACGACCAGCACGGTACTACTAGCACGGTACGACCAGCACGGTACTACTAGCACGGTACGACCAGCACGGTACTACCAGCACGGTACTACCAGCACGGTACGACCAGCACGGTACTACTAGCACGGTACGACCAGCACGGTACGACCAGCACGGTACTACTAGCACGGTACGACCAGCACGGTACTACCAGCACGGTACTACCAGCACGGTACTACCAGCACGGTACTACCAACACGGTACGACCAACACGGTACTACCAGCACGGTACTACCAGCACGGTACTACCAGCACGGTACTACTAGCACGGTACTACCAGCACGGTACGACCAGCACGGTACTACCAGCACGGTACTACCAGCACGGTACTACCAGCACGGTACTACGAGCACGGTACTACCAGCACGGTACTACCAGCACGGTACTACCAGCACGGTACTACCAGCACGGTACTACCAGCACGGTACTACCAGCACGGTACGACCAGCACGGTACTACCAGCACGGTACTACCAGCACGGTACTACCAGCACGGTACTACCAGCACGGTACTACCAGCACGGTACGACCAGCACGGTACTACTAGCACGGTACGACCAGCACGGTACTACCAGCAAGGTACGACCAGCACGGTACTACCAGCACGGTACTACCAGCACGGTACTACCAGCACGGTACGACCAACACGGTACTACCAGCACGGTACGACCAACACGGTACTACCAGCACGGTACTACTAGCACGGTACTACCAGCACGGTACTACCAGCACGGTACTACCAGCACGGTACTACCAGCACGGTACTACCAGCACGGTACTACCAGCACGGTACTACCAGCACGGTACTACCAGCACGGTACTACCAGCACGGTACGACCAGCACGGTACGACCAGCACGGTACTACCAGCACGGTACTACCAGCACGGTACGACCAACACGGTACTACCAGTACGGTACTACTAGCACGGTACTACCAGCACGGTACTACCAGCACGGTACTACCAGCACGGTACTACCAGCACGGTACTACCAGCACGGTACTACCAGCACGGTACTACCAGCACGGTACTACCAGCACGGTACGACCAGCACGGTACTACTAGCACGGTACGACCAGCACGGTACTACCAGCACGGTACGACCAGCTCGGTACTACCAGCACGGTACTACCAGCACGGTACTACCAGCACGGTACGACCAACACGGTACTACCAGCACGGTACTACTAGCACGGTACTCACGGTACTACTAGCACGGTACTCACGGTACTACTAGCACGGTACTACTAGCACGGTACTCACGGTACTACCAGCACGGTACGACCAGCACGGTACTACCAGCACGGTACTACTAGCACGGTACTACCAGCACGGTACGACCAGCACGGTACTACCAGCACGGTACTACCAGCACGGTACTACCAGCACGGTATTACCAGCACGGTACTACCAGCACGGTACTACCAGCACGGTACTACCAGCACGGTACGACCAACACGGTACTACCAGCACGGTACTACTAGCACGGTACGACCAGCACGGTACTACCAGCACGGTACTACCAGCACGGTACGACCAGCACGGTACTACCAGCACGGTACTACCAGCACGGTACTACCAGCACGGTACTACTAGCACGGTACTACTAGCACGGTACTCACGGTACTACTAGCACGGTACTCACGGTACTACTAGCACGGTACTCACGGTACTACCAGCACGGTACTCACGGTACTACTAGCACGGTACTCACGGTACTACTAGCACGGTACTACTAGCACGGTACTACCAGCACGGTACTACTAGCACGGTACTACCAGCACGGTACTACCAGCACGGTACTACCAGCACGGTACTACCAGCACGGTACTACCAGCACGGTACGACCAACACGGTACTACCAGCACGGTACTACTAGCACGGTACGACCAGCACGGTACTACCAGCACGGTACTACCAGCACGGTACGACCAACACGGTACTACCAGCACGGTACGACCAGCACGGTACTACCAGCACGGTACTACTAGCACGGTACTACCAGCACGGTACGACCAGCACGGTACTACCAGCACGGTACTACCAGCACGGTACTACCAGCACGGTACGACCAGCACGGTACTACCAGCACGGTACTACTAGCACGGTACGACCAGCACGGTACTACCAGCACGGTACTACCAGCACGGTACTACCAGCACGGTACTACTAGCACGGTACGACCAACACGGTACTACCAGCAAGGTACGACCAGCACGGTACGATCAGCACGGTACGACCAGCACGGTACTACTAACACGTACGACCAGCACGGTACGACCAGCACGGTACGACCAGCACGGTACTACTACCAGCACGGTACGACCAGCGGTACTATCAGGTACGACCAGCACGGTACTACTAACACGGTACGACCAGCACGGTACTACCAGCAAGGTACGACCAGCACGGTACTACCAGCACGGTACGACCAGCACGGTACTACCAGCACGGTACGACCAGCACGGTACTACCAGCACGGTACGACCAGCACGGTACTACTAGCACGGTACGACCAGCACGGTACTACCAGCACGGTACGACCAGCACGGTACGATCAGCACGGTACGACCAGCACGGTACTACTAACACGGTACGACCAGCACGGTACTACCAGCACGGTACTACCAAGCACGGTACGACCGACCAGCACGGTACGACCAGCACGGTACTACTAACACGGTACGACCAGCACGGTACGACCAGCACGGTACTACTAACACGGTACGACCAGCACGGTACTACCAGCAAGGTACGACCAGCACGGTACTACCAGGTACAAGGTACGACCAGCACGGTACTACCAGCAAGGTACGACCAGCACGGTAGGTACGACCAGCACGGTACAATCAGCACGGTACGACCAGCACGTTACTACTAACACGGTACGACCAGCACGGTACTACTAACACGGTACGACCAGCACGGTACGACCAGCACGGTACTACTAACACGGTACGACCAGCACGGTACTACCAGCAAGGTACGACCAGCACGGTACTACCAGCAAGGTACGACCAGCACGGTACTACTAACACGGTACGACCAGCACGGTACTATCAGCACGGTACGACCAGCACGTTACTACTAACACGGTACGACCAGCACGGTACTACTAACACGGTACGACCAGCACGGTACGACCAGCACGGTACTACTAACACGGTACGACCAGCACGGTACTACCAGCAAGGTACGACCAGCACGGTACTACCACAAGGTACGACCAGCACGGTACTACTAACACGGTACGACCAGCACGGTACTATCAGCACGGTACGACCAGCACGTTACTACTAACACGGTACGACCAGCACGGTTCTATCAGCACGGTACTATCAGCACGGTACGACCAGCACGGTACTACTAACACGGTACGACCAGCACGGTACTACTAACACGGTACAACCAGCACGGTACGATCAGCACGGTACGACCAGCACGGTACTATCAGCACGGTACGACCAGCAGGGTACTATACTAGCACGGTACACCACGCATTACACAGATTACTGCTGGTGTACCAGCTACCAACCTATACTACTAACCTTCCTGTACTACCAACGTAACCCACGTTACAAGCATGTCTGATGTTACCAACGTAACCCACGTTACAAGCATGTCTGATGTTACCAACGTAACCCACGTTACTAGCATGTCTGATGTTACCAACGTAACCCACGTTACTAGCATGTCTGATGTTACCAACGTAACCCACGTTACTAGCATGTCTGATGTTACCAACGTAACCCACGTTACTAGCATGTCTGATGTTACCAACGTAACCCACGTTACTAGCATGTCTGATGTTACCAACGTAACCCACGTTACAAGCATGTCTGATGTTACCAACGTAACCCACGTTACTAGCATGCTTCATGTTACCAACGTAACCCACGTTACAAGCATGTCTGATGTTACCAACGTAACCCACGTTACTAGCATGTCTGATGTTACCAACGTAACCCACGTTACAAGCATGTCTGATGTTACCAACGTAACCCACGTTACTAGCATGTCTGATGTTACCAACGTAACCCACGTTACAAGCATGTCTGATGTTACCAACGTAACCCATGTTACTAGCATGCTTCATGTTACCAACGTAACCCACGTTACTAGCATGTCTGATGTTACCAACGTAACCCACGTTACAAGCATGTCTGATGTTACCAACGTAACCCACGTTACAAGCATGTCTGATGTTACCAACGTAACCCACGTTACTAGCATGCTTCATGTTACCAACGTAACCCACGTTACTAGCATGTCTGATGTTACCAACGTAACCCATGTTACTAGCATGTCTGATGTTACCAACGTAACCCATGTTACAAGCATGTCTGATGTTACCAACGTAACCCACGTTACAAGCATGTCTGATGTTACCAACGTAACCCACGTTACTAGCATGTCTGATGTTACCAACGTAACCCACGTTACTAGCATGTCTGATGTTACCAACGTAACCCACGTTACTAGCATGTCTGATGTTACCAACGTAACTCATACTGTAAATTTACATTTTCAACATTGATCATATTATTACCATTCTTAATATGACGAACATAACTCATACAAATAACATCTTTAATATTACTCTCGTAGTTAACATTCTTGATATTACGAATATTACTCAGAATAATAACATTTAAGATATTACGACCAATATTCATATTATCAAAATGTCTTGGGCTTCCATGATCTCCGAGAGAACGGTTGAGGAGACTTGTGGAGTTGCTTACAACAAGTCTACCTGCTTGAGGAACTTGACATATGATGCTCTGAGACGTGTCGGAGAGCCAAGAAACAAGGAGTGTCACTGAGTGCCAGGCTGACCCCTCCTTCCCTCGTAGAAACGACTTGCGGCAAGACTTAGAAAGAATTCGACAGTAATCTGTAGATCTATCTAGGCCTGTTGTAATAGGTGCATACTTGTAGAAGCTTGTTACAAGACACCCAATTGCATCTTGGTAATTCTAAAAGGAGTGATCTAGGATCAGTTGAGAACCATCTTGGTGAAGGGAGAAGCAAACAAGATGGAGAAAGATGGGATTAAAAGATGGATGATAAAATTACTTCAACAGCAATAAAAGGGAGAATGAAAGATTAAGTAAATAAATGAATACTAATGTATGGGAGAGTTGGAAAATATTCTGTTAAGTTAGAAAATGTAACAAGGGAAAAGTTAGGAACGGCAGCCAAAACAGTAAAGATTTTCACGAATGAATGTTCAGTGGTGAAGGAAAAATTAGAAGTAGGAAAAGAGAATATTCTGAAGTGATACTATCTTACTACTTCTCACTACGGAGTGAAAGAAATGCAAGGTCGAATTCCAGATGCTGTTCCCATGGAGGAGATCAGCACACGAATGCAGACACTGGAGTACGGGGAGCTGCAGGCGTGATGTATAATCTGAAAGATTATACATAGGTATAAAGGGGATAAAGGAATGAAACAGATGTGGAACTTTCCCTAGAGGGATGGAAAAGTTGCACTCTCCCATATGACTGGAAAGGGGCTGTTGGTACACCCTTTATGTAAACATAGAAGTTACCATTGTAAGTGTAAGAACTATAGAGGCATTAGTGTACAGGTGCAGGAGTACAACATGTGCGCCTTGAAGTAGCTAGTGAATAAGAATGATTATATGGTGCACATGGCATTTGTGGATTTCAAGAATGCTTATGATATAGGGAAGAGGTAAAAGTCTCCGTAGATGACTTAGTACAAATGGAATTGTTGGAATGTTTCATATGCTTTGAAGAGCTCTTATGCAAGGAGAAAATTATGTGTGAGTTTGTATAGCTTTGTATTGCCCTGTCTACATCTCTCTCTCTCTCTGTCCACCTATGTCTGTGTCTGCGTGTGTGTGTGTGTGTGTGTGTGTGTGTGTCTTTCTCTGTGAATCTGTCACTCATTATATATATATATATATATATATATATATATATATATATATATATATATATATATATATATATATATATATATATATATATAGTTTTCAGTTTACCACTGCTGCCTTGTTCACTCTGTGGTCCTGGGTTCGATCCCAGGCGCCGGCGAGAAACATTGGGCAGAGTTTATTTCACCCTTTGCCCCTGTTACCTAGTTTTCAGTTATATATATATATATATATATATATATATACCTAGAAGGGGTACCACCTCTGGGTATATATATATATATATATATATCCATATATATATATATATATATATATATATATATATATATATATATATATATATATATATATATATATATATATATATATATGTGTGTGTGTGTGTGTGTGTGTGTGTGTGTGTGTGTGTGTGTGTGTGTGTGTGTGTGTGTGTGTGTGTGTGTATCACGAAAATAAACACGTGATTAAAAATGTGACAGTGTCAGACCACGGAGGAAAATTGAAGCAGTAATTTCCTTAAGTACTTTCGTATATTAATACATCTTCACATAATTTACATCTTTACATAATAATACATCTTTACATAATACATCTTCAGACTCCTTCTGAAGATGTATTAATATACGAAAGTACTTAAGGAAATTGCTGTTTCAATTTTCCTCCGTGGTCTGACACTTTCATATATATATATATATATATATATATATATATATATATATATATATATATATATATATATATATATATATATATATATATATATAACTGAAAACTCACACCCCAGAAGTGACTCGAACCCATACTCCCAGAAGCAACGCAACTGGTATGTACAAGACGCCTTAATCCACTTGACCATCACGACCGGACATAATGAGGTGATAGCCGAGGCTATATGAACCACCCCACCGCCGGCACTCGGATAGTTATCTTGGGCATAGCATTTTACCAAATCACCTCATTCTTTGGGGCACACGTCCCCAAAGAATGAGGTGATTTGGTAAAATGCTATGCCCAAGATAACTATCCGAGTGCCGGCGGTGGGGTGGTTCATATAGCCTCGGCTATCACCTCATTATGTCCGGTCGTGATGGTCAAGTGGATTAAGGCGTCTTGTACATACCAGTTGCGTTGCTTCTGGGAGTATGGGTTCGAGTCACTTCTGGGGTGTGAGTTTTCAGTTGCATATGTCCTGGGGACCATTCAGGCTTGTTCGCATATATATATATATATATATATATATATATATATATATATATATATATATATATATATATATATATATATATATATATATATATATATATATATATATATATATATATAGGTACTCCCTATCCTATAAAAAAAAAAAAAAAAAAAAAAAAAAAAAAAAAAAAAAAAAAAAAAAAAAAAAAAAAAAAAAAAAAAAAATATATATATATATATATATATATATATATATATATATATATATATATATCAACCCTTAAGTTAACCCTTAAGAACATAAAACATGTGAAACCAACAACAGTAAATTAGATGGCACTTAGATAGATAACCTCAAGAAGATAGTCCTTATCAATAGTTTGCAATAATTGATTTATTTTATTTTTTTATTTATTTATATCTTTACATTACGTCTTTATAACCTGGAACACAAGGACCAACACCTGCCCGGAGAGTTCAACATGGCTCTGCGGCACTCTAATGTGAGAGTGTCACTGATATATTTTACTGAAGCTCAGATATGCAAGCAAAATGTTGAAGTGACATAGTTAAATGTGGTGCGCGGGCACCGTAGAGTCAAATACCAGGTTAGATGCGGTTTAGTGTACCCAAAATTTGCCAGTGCAGGCTACTAAACATGTGGCCCTGTATGACTAACCATCCTGCGAGATGGGGACTTTTATTACCACTGCTACCTTATTCAATCTTGTGTTGATGATATCCTCAAAATGCATCCGGAGTCTGCCTGTGCAGACTGCTTATCACATGCCTCTGTATGACTAACCATCCTGTGTGATGGGAATTTTTTAGCATCACCTAGCTAGCTTTTTTGACACACTGTACTCCACTTCATATAGTCTAGGGTAGCTGCACTAATGCAGATGTACCTCATATCTTAATAAAAAAAATTAGTGTAGACCTTTCAGACCAGTTGGCATGAGGTATCTGGAGCTTTGCAATTACTTTATTCACTCTCATATTCTTGAAGATATCCTCACAGTGTACCCAAAATTTGCCAGTGCAGGCTACTAAACATTTGGCCCTGTATGACTAACCATCCTGCGAGATGGGGACTTTTATTACCACTGCTGCCTTGTTCACTCTGTGGTCCTGGGTTCGATCCCAGGCGCCGGCGAGAAACATTGGGCAGAGTTTCTTTCACCCTATGAACCTGTTACATAGCAGTAAAATAGGTACCTGGATGTTAGTCAGCTGTCACGGGCTGCTTCCTGGGGTGGAGGCCTGGTCGAGGACCGGGCCGCGGGGACACTAAAAAGCCCCGAAATCATCTCAAGATAACCTCAAGATAACCGTTACCTGTGGCAGGTGGCTGCAGGTGACGGATCTCCGAATCCTGAGCACTCCAGGTGCAAACTCTGTGAGCAGGAACTGACGAATGAGCTTGCACACTAAATCACCAAATGCCCAGTTATTAGACCATTCAGTCTCGTTGGCATGAGGTACCTAGAGCTTTGCAATTACTTTATTCACTCTCGTGTTCATGCGGATATTCTCATATTGCACCCAAAATTTGCCAGTGCAGGCTACTAAACATATGGCCCTGTATGACTAACCATCCTGCGAGTTTGGGACTTTTAGTACCACTGCTGCCTTGTTCACTCTTGTGTTGATGATATCCTCATAATGCACCCAGAGTCTGTCAGTACAGATTACTGTTCACCTGCATTTGTATGACTAGCCATCTTATGTTACAAGGATTTTAGCCAACGCAGCTAGCTTTTTGACACGCACTGTTCTCCCCTTCATATAATCTACGGTAGCTGCACAAAGGAAGATGTACCTTAATGTGTTAATTACAAAAAAACGGATATAACATGCCTCTGTATGACTAACCATCCTGTGGCATGGGTAAGTTTAGCATCACGTAGCTAGTTATTGATATACATTGTACTTCCCTTCATATAGTCTGGGGCAGCGACACAAATACACATGAACCTAAAATAAATCACCTTGAGTGTAAAGGGTGCATTGGGGAGAGGGATGAAGAGACGGGAAATGAAGTGAGCAGCAGAAGCAGCAACAGCAGCAACGGAAGCAAGAGCAGCACCAACAAGAGCAGCAACAACAGCCAGAGTTGTTAGTGGTGAACCACCCCTCACTCGTGTCCCAAAGCACACCCCGGCGACCCATTCTTTTCTCTCGTAAAAATGTATTTCTGTTGTTTATATCTTGTAATTTGCACCCCCAAGGCGGTAGTGCAGCCACTTCCCGTCCCTTCCCCTCAGCATACAGTTAAAAATGTAAACCTCGACCACGTGTAGGCTCAATACCTTCCTGTAATATCACCCAAGTTCTTAGATTGACCTGGCACTCACTGATCGTTCTTAGTTTGTAATGTAACGTTGATCATAAACACGCCTTCTCGTGTGTGTGTGTGTGTGTGTGTGTGTGTGTGTGTG